TATTCCAGTTCGTTCCCCTCAGACACACCGCCCACAATGGCGGAGTCGTCGGAGAACTTCTGCAGGTGACAGCTGTGTGTGTCGTGTGTGAAGTCTGAGGTGTAGATGGTGAAGAGAAACGGTGAGAGGACAGTGCCCTGAGGGGCCCCAGTGCTGCAGACTACCACCTCAGACTTACAGCTGCGCAGCCGCACGTACTGTGGTCGGTCTGAGAGGTAGTTGATGGTCCATGCAGTGAGGCTACTGTCCACTCCCGCGTCCTCCATCTTCCCCTGCAGCAGTGCCGGCCTGATGGTATTGAAAGCGCTGGAGAAGTCGAAAAACATGACCCTCACAGCGCTCCCGGTGGGCTCCAGGTGGGAGAGCGTCCGCTGCAGGAAGTAGATGACGGCGTCCTCTACTCCGATGTTGGGCCTGTAGGCGAACTGCAGCGGGTCCAGGGTGGTGCTGACCACGGAGCGGAGATGGGTGAGGATGAGCCGCTCCATGGTCTTCACCAGGTGGGAGGTCAGTGCGACTGGTCTGTAGCGAGCCGGTTCCTTGGCGTGTGCTGTTTTTGGAACCGGGATCACACAGGAGGTCTTCCACAGGACAGGGACCTTCTCCAGGCTTAGGCTCAGGTTGTACATGTAGCTGAGGACCCCAAAGAGCTGGTCTGCACAGGTCCTCAGCAGCCTGGGACTGATCCTGTCCGGTCCTGCGGATTTCCTCAGCTTCAGGCGCTGGAGCTGACTCCTCACCTGGTCCGGTGTGATGGAGAGGGGGGGGGACCGGGGTGTACTGTCCGGGGTGGGGGCTGGGGATGCGGGGGCAGGAGGGCCCGGGGCAGCCGGAGGCAGTGTCCACTGGGCTGGGGACGTGTGAAGAGGTGGGGGCCGGAGGGGGGGCAGATGGAGAGGGGGCAGATGGAGAGGGGGGAGAATCAAACTGTTCCACTGTTCCTCTGGCACTCTGTCCAAAGCCGGAGATGTTCTTTAGGCCTCTCCACACGTCACGGGCGTTTTCCCTGGAAATTAGAGTGCCTTCTCTATAATAATTCCATACTCACTATTCAAAATACATAGGAACAATTATTATTTTTATTCTAGGTCCCTTTTCTCATTGCTTTGTAAATATCTCTTTTGTATGTGAACTGTGCTCTTACTGTGTGATTTTATTTTTTTTATTTATTGTTTTCCCCGACTGACTGTCTTTGTTTTATTATTGTATGACTTTTTTTTTTTTACTGTTATTACCTTTAAGGAGTACATCTGTCCAGGGACTGCAGATGAAAAATAGTCTACTTGGATAATTCTGGTGGATTTACATAAATGTTTTTATTGCACAATGTCCCTGTCATATAGAAATAGATAATATAAGTATTCCTTGCACAACTCAAAACCTTTGATTTCTTTTTGGAGCACCCATATCTGTAAGCAATAGTACTGGAGGTGACTTTCCTTTTGCAGTCCAGATTCTTTTATGAAGTTGAACGTGTCTGTTGTGTCTCTGAAATAAACCCTTTTGAATTCATTACAGTATCATGGTGGCAGCGGGGCCTTATCTGAGACAGGGAGAGTGCTGACTTCTAAAAATACTTTTATCTACTTCTCAGAGTCAGCGTTCTCAGGAGAGTCGCACCAGAACAGACCCCCACTGAACCTACCTCACTGTGGCTGAAGTATGCATTCAGGAGCTGTCACTTCTAAACATGAACAGCAATGTTTTTTGTCTTGCTGTTAATTCAATTCAATTCAATTTAATTTATTTTTGTAGAGCCCTATATCACAACAGAAGTAATCTTGAACGACTTTATAAGGTTGTCGATTTATCAACTACACATCACTCATGGCTGATAACTCTGATTGGCCTAAACCATTATTGCTGCAAGGCCAAGATCTCACATATGGATACACTAAAGTACTCAAATTCACTTTTCATGTCTTTGGTCTCAAGTCTGCGTCAAATACCAGTCACTGTCACAAAATGTTCAAGTGGTTGATTTACAAAGGTACTAACCAGCAGAAGTAAATAAAACACATGTGCCATTAAATGTACCACATAAACAATTAAAGCACTAAACGTTGACATTGATCAAACCTTTGCAGACAAAGGTGACAATGACTGTTTTTCTGATGTTGTTTCTGTGAGCACTGGTTCTCCTCAGGGATATATTTTGAGTCCTTTGCTTTTTACTTTGTACACTCACGATTGTGTGTCCTCCTCTGACTCAAACTTGATCATCAAATATGCTGATGACACCACCATCATCGGTCTCATCAGTGACAATGATGAATCCTCTTATAGAGCAGAGATACAAAATGTGGTTCAGTGGAGTAAAACTAACAACCTCCAGTTGAACGCATCGAAAACATGTGAACTGGTCTACGACTTCAGTCGCAATAGTTCTCATTTGCCTGTCATAATCGACAACTCCCAGGTGCAGATCGTAGAGGAGTGAAAGTTTCTGGGTTTAACTCTGTCTAACGACCTGAAATGGGTTAAAAACACTGACCGAGTCGTTAAGAAAGCTCGCCAGCGTCTCTACTTTCTGCGTAAACTTAGAGAATTTACCACTAACTCTAAGATTCTGCTTAACTTTTATCGCTGCACCATTGAGAGTTTACTTGTTGGTTCTGTGTCTGTGTGGTTTGGAAACATCACAGATAAAGAAAAGAGAGCTTTAAACAAGGTGCTCCGCTCTGCAAAGAGGACCGTGGGCTGTGAATTTCCTGTTCTGGAGGTTCTTTATAAATCCAGACTTTTAAACAAAGCTCTTAGGATTGTCAATGACTCTTCTGGCCACCCTGGGAAAGCCATGTTCCAGCTTCTTCCCTCTGGCAGAAGATATCGCTCTCTGAGATGCAGGACATCTCGTTACGCTAACAGTTTTCATCCACAAGCTGTTATCAGTGTGAACAGAGCACTTTAATGATTTGCACTTGTTTTGAACTGTTTTAGTCGATCAATTTCACAGTGACATTTGTTTACTGTTTCATTTGTTTTATTTTTGCCTTTTAATGTTGTTTTATGTCTGTATTTGTCTGTGCACACTTGAGACTTTTGCTAATGTATTCCAATGTGTTTTTTTTTTACTGCAAATGGCAAATAAACTGAATTAGAATCTGAATCTGAATCAAACTCTGGCTTTGAGATGAGACACACAATGTTAAATACAGAAGAAATTAATGCTATTTAGTGTTGTGCAATTCAGATTCAACATATCCAGAGTGACTGTCTTAGACCAACAGCAAACAGTATTAGTGATGCTAAAAAGCAGCGCTAGTAGGGAAGCAATGGAGAGGATGCCAAAGAAACCACAACACCATGGTTTCAACAGCCATTCAAAAAAGGAAGCCAAGAAAAATGACTTGATCCGCCATGGGAGAGGTACTGTACAGTATATACAGTGGATATTTTGGCAGAAATTAAAGCAAAACGCTTTTTTGATCTGCTGACGTCGTCACTTTGTTGATGACGTTTACTCCATGTTAAAGAGGAGGCCTTTCAGTATGGAAGTATGGAATGTTTTGAAAAATAATCCATGTTTAATACAACTAGAATTAATAAAAAGAATATGCTCCAAAAACAATCTCTGTGTAAGAGATCAATTCTTGTTGTTTTCTTATCGACATCACATCGCACACAAGCTCCTTACAAACTCATCTAATCCTGCTTGACATTTTGACTCTCTCACATATCAATATTTTGTTATATGATCTTGTACCCTTGCGCCCCCCTCCAGTGTATTTTTTATGAGAGCACAGAGCTGTCATTGACTATTTATTTGTGGGCCCACATTTCAAACACTATCACTCTTCACTCTTCCTGCGTATGTGGAGGCGAGAGAGAGAACGGGTCCAGCATCAAAGCCGCCTTTCATTTGGACCCTGGGCCACAAACCAGACTCGCTATGATTTGGGGGACACAGTATGAAGTGGAAACAGGAAGTTGTTACACACTGTGTAAAAAGTTCTCAATGTCTGAAATTAAACTTCTGACTTTGTAGAAGTCAGAAGTGGCGGCACGGTGGCTGAGTGGATAGCACTCTCGCCTCTCAGCAAGAAGGTCCTGGGTTCGAATCCCGGCCGGACCAGGGCCTTTCTGAGTGGAGTTTGCATGTTCTCCCCGTGTCTGCGTAGGTTTCCTCCGGGTACTCCGGTTTCCCCTACCACTAAAAATATGTACAATAGGTCTGGCATGCGCCTCCTGTTCGGCGACCCCGCTCCCATCTCTGTGTGGAGTGAGAGGACAAGTGCCCAAAAATAACAATTGTAAACCGCTTTGTGAAAGGCGGTATATAAATAAAGCTTACTTACTTACTTACTAGAAAGTCTCTCAATGTTTTGATTATCAGAAATATTTTTTGTAAGAATGACTTACTGAGAAATGGGGGAAGTCAGACTTGAATGCATGGAAGTGTCAAGTGGGTGTGTACGTGTGTGTCTTGGCTTAGGGTTAAAAACATAATTATACACACAAATGCTGAAAATACATACATCAGTGGTGCATCATCTGTCAGAGACCAACATCAGTGAGTTCTTTGACTAAACGTTGATATTTATAGGAGTATTTGTGTCTAGTCTATATAAATAAAAACTAGCAACACATCAAACTGAGCTTAAAGCAAGTCTCAACAGCCGACATCCCATCTCCATTCCTGAGTTCTTGATAAATGCATAAGCCACTAGCAGACAATATAGACCTCAGCAGGGTGAACGTTCCATAGACTTTTTAAAATGGGGCATATCATGAAAAATAAGTTTGAACGATTTTTTGTTTTTAAGCATTTTATAGCCTCAATGGACTCTGGGTCATCAGACTCAAACTCTACCCTGAATGAATGTGTGTCAGTCCAGGACTCATCACACACAAAGTGCAAAGACTGAAAAAACTCAAAATACATTCATTCCATTTGGACGATCGAGCTGACCCACTCTGCAATGGCACTTATTTTTTTTAAACTATTAATACATAACACAGAACATCGCTAACCTTAAAAAAGTCAAACACAAAAAAAGATGTTGCACTACTTGTGTGTACCGACAGGGGGCGCGTCTCCCCTTGCTGCCGCCGCTCTGCGCTCTGTCAGACGCGAGCTTCTCCTCTGTGTTCACTTCTATGATGCGGCTTTCTTCCCCTGCTCTGCTTCTCCACAAGGTAAGCGCACATCCCTCACATTCAAAACCTCACATTTCACACCTTTACATCCAACACGACCTAATATTTCTCCACTTACTATCGTCTTCTTTCCCTCACAAGTTCCCGTTTGACTTTAGCGGACAAAACGTGCTGCGTAAATCCTCCAAACACGCGCACGCACACATACACACAAAACGCGCCAAATGTACGCAGCGCTTCACCTCTTTGCGTCTTTGGCACGACCTCTACTTTGGACACGCACCCCCGTCTTCGTGTTTTTTGGACTCTGTTCCGGTTTTGGGGCATTTTAATTGCGCAGCTTAAGGGGGGACACGCTGGCTTTAAATCAACTTTAACGTCAGCTCCCGGTTTCCCTTTTACGCTCACAAAGGGGCATTTAACAGCAGTGCCAGCTTTCCCTTTAACACAACGCTATTAAAACACTCCACTTTACACGTACACATTTTTATGGCTTAATCTCCTTCACTTTGAGCCAAATCTATGCGTAAAAGCCCAGGAAAAACAGCTTTGACTTTCTTTCCAGGGTTTTATCCTGTGCGTAAAACCAAGTTATGCCCCCGAAGGACAGACCCTGCCTGTATCTCGGAACACTGGGTCACACGCTGTTCTTGGGTGCGCTAATGACTGTCTCAACATCATTTTTCATTATTGCATAGATCAGAAAGCAATTTATTTAGAGCGTTACCTAAAGTGCAGCCACGCCAACAATGTCCACTAGATTTACTTTTACCTAGATAGATCAAAGGCTTACCTGTAAGCAACATCTCATTACCCAAATCACCACCTTTGATTCAAAGTTATAATCAAATCTGTAAAAAAAAAAAACAAGAATTGTGAAAATCATGATCTCTTTTCCTAGATCCGTTCACTTCTATAGACTCCAAGCGGCCTAATAATGATTCATCACCGTGGAATTGAACTGGACAGGCGCTCTTTGCATTTTGACATACACGCATTTGCTGATGACTTATGAAGAGCTGTCCATGGTGCTGAAGGAGTCCCTCTTGGCGCATGCATGGCTTTTACGCACGGAGCTGTCCATGGCGCCAAAACAGCTGTTTACTCTTGTAATCCACTATTGTCCTGACAAACAATAGATGTTATATTTATATTCAGTTATTGGCGTGTATCGATCGTCTGCAGGTGGATTCTATTGAATTCACTGCATTTTACTCGCGACATTGCTAAGGTTTTTCTCCTACAAATGATACCACTGCTAATAACTTGATCGTGTGAAGAAGCACTTTAAATACAGTGTACCTATACAATAACTTCCCTTAAATGATTCTACATGGAAAAAATTTCTTTTGAATCGTGTCAAAGAAAGATAACTATACAGCGCATTTTACAATAAAACAAAGACTTCCAAATATGCATAACCAATTAAGTGTAACGATAAAGCAGCATTTTTCATCCCACACAAGAGATGAATGTTTTGAAAAATGTTCAAGGCTCTTTCTGCGATTCCACCACGTGATCCAGTCCGACCTCCGGAATACATAAATTATTTGACACACACTGAAGCCTGATGAAGGAATGTCATTTCACGTTAGAGCTGGGACAGGCTGAATTACAACACTTCCTTCAGTGTGTGAACTTGTCTTCAGACTCCACCTAATTTCAAAAGTAGTACGTAATTTATTGAATCTGTATGGTATTTTACGAGGCCTGTGCATGGGTTGTAGTGCTAGCGGCATTATAATTCACAGCACACTTCATTTGAGATTAAGATTAAGATTGAGTTGTTTTGATGTAAGTTTAACACAATGTTGTATGACTGCTTAATATGTTCCACTGTGCGTGTACATACGGTATGTGTATATCTTAACTGACCAACAACATTTTCTGACGTAAATGAGCACTACCCTTGTATCACCATTGTCTATACGATTACACAATGCGCAGAACGGCGGACGATTCTGCAAATGTATTCACAATCACTTACAAACAACTGCTCCTACATATTATAAGTGTATTATAAGTGTTTTTCTTTATTCAAATTATGCCCTGATGGGAAACCCTTTTCAGGGCTGGGGCTGTTCTTCTAGAGAACTAACTCGAGGGCCCACCAGTTCAATGAAATGGATTTACAATTACATGTGCGCTGTGTGTGATGCGGTGCGTGGATCATCTGTCAAATCCACATTCTCTGCACGTGAACGAAACTCGCTTATTAAATCATAACTATATTTTCAAACTCGCGGGCAGTGAGGCAAGAAACAAGAAAGTGCTTGAAAATACCATGGTTTTCTTGTGTTTTGTAAGATTAGCCTCATTTTAAGGGCATGTTTATCCTCACATGGATGCATTGTATTACATTCATATCTACTCAAAACTTAATCCAATCCAAGATCCTCGCTGCTCACTTGCTGGGATTTCTGTGCGTAATGCGTAACATCCAAACGTCTCAAACGGGCAAAAAGTGTGAGGAAAAAGAGAGGGGTAGAGGAGGAGAGAGCACGGGGGCTATCCATCACGTGGTGCGCGCTGACAGCTTGGGCTTCACGGACTCCCGAGCAGCGGAGCGAAGTAGCGAAGTGGGGAGCGATCAAACGCCGAGCAATAATAAGCCGATTCAATACCCAACTGCACGTTTTTATACCGAGCGGGAGGGGGCGCGGGGGGGTTGCCTGTCCATGGCATCCAGTGCGCATGGATAGGACGCAAGAAGAGGACAGGCCGGGTGGGTGGGGTGGACCTAAAAGTGCGTGAGATAAGGCATTGAATAATAATAAAAAAAAAACATGGAGTAAGGCAAGAGAGAGAGAGAGAGAGAGATCTTTGAAACTGCCTGTTCACGCATGGCAACAAAAGGCATGCGGCCCAGTCGGATGTTATGCAAATGAGTGAGTCAAGCGAGTTGAAATGGCAACACAGAAAGTGATCAGGACACATGCGTGAATGACAGAGAGAGGAGTGCAAAGAGTGAGTGACGTCTGGACATATGTGAGAAACAGGGGTTGAAATGATGATACGTGGGATGTTTGCGCGTTCTGGGCTGCACATCTGCTATATGGAAGGAAGGCAGAGATCCATTATCAAGATATTCCATGAAAGAATACAGATTATTACACGCTTTGGTGGTTTCTCAAGCTTTCCTTGTTTCAATAACACGTAAAAGCAGGCACCCCTGGGCTTAAACCAAAACAGTGATCAAATGGTGTGTGTGTGTACGTGTGTTTGTGTGTGTGTGTCTGACGTCTGACTGTATGTGTTGTTGTTGTTGTTGTCCTATAAAAATACATGGCATCCTCTGGGACATGTGACAGAATGATGCTTTTATGTAAGCCTCATATCAAAATTGGGATCAAACTGCCTATTGCTGGATTGAACCTGGACCAAAATTGACTTAGCTAAAAATGTCAACAAAGAAGAATCAGAATAGGCCTGCACGGTATTTATAGCAAAAGTTATTTTAGACAATACCTGGATGAATGTGCAAACGTCACTCCAACTTTTGTCTCGCCGAGAAAAGCATGATTGCTTGAGCTATTTAGGCTACACTTTTAATATCATTCAACCAATAAAAGTTACTACCCAACATTGCAGACAAGTTGTAGGCTGCAAGGACATCCATGCAGACCTATATTCTTAATGTGAACTAACGTTTCAACCAACAACAACAACAGAGAAGCAGGAGTTTACCTTTTATTGATTAATTGTGTTAAACCAGGACCACCCTCAAACCTAGATTCCATTTCGACTCAAACTAGAGTACAACTCGGACCACAACTGGACACATGTAAACGTAGATTAGATTAACCTTTTGTCTAATTACGCACATGAAAACCTCGACTATACCCGCTGGTATAGTCGCGTTCGGCGTAAACGTCAGATGTCGTGCGGCGAAGCGAACGGGAGGAGCTCGCACTACAGTCTGCCACTACACCGCTCCTTACGCGTATCTCACTTTCCCCCAAAACACACACACATGCATACAAAAAGACGCGCAGACACGAGAAATTCACCTTTCCTTTTCTATTTTCTCTTTGTGTCTTTCAGCCAATGGACAACTACCATGGATAACCCACCAGTCTCGCTCCCATCACCTGCTCTTTCGTCTCATCTCCGCGCCTCTCTCCCCAAGACAGACGCGTCTCCCTGCTCACTACTGATGCAGTGAAAGCTCCATCCATCCAGGCTGTTTCTTAGTTTGTGATTTTCCCTCGTTATTTTTTTGTTATTTTTGTTGTTGTTTACATTTCCCGAACGCTGTGAACTATGGATACTATGTGGAACGCGCGCAAAGGCTGTCAGAGCATGCCTTGACGTGGATTTTGAAGCAAGCGTGACAAGAAGAGTGTGTGAAATCAGAGCTGGGGAGTATACGACCTTTTATTTTACACGCACAGGGGAATTTATCCAGAGAGCAGCATGAAGATTACCTCCGTTTTGGGTTTTAACGCCGGATTGGGCTGCTTCCTGTGGCTACTACCGCTGCTGTTGCACTGTGTGGGATATTGCAATGGGATGCCACACGTATTGAGATTTGGTAAGTCCCTGTTTTCTCATTTCGAGCTGCAAAAGTTTGTTGTCGCAAGTGCCGGACGTAATGCTTGTATGTAGATACGGAGTTGGCTGCATGTGAACTTGTTGCATTGTGAAAAAAAAAAATGCAGAAAATATGTCTCACAAAAGCGAAATCAACGTTATTCTGTGGCTGTGATTTGAACCTGCTTCGTATGACTTGTGTCTGGAAGTGAGTGGACAAATCAAAAGGTTGATGGATTCTTTTTTATTGGTGTATGGAGTCAATGATGAAGCTGTCATCACGACTCCATATGGTCAAAACATACAATGGCACATTCAATTGTGTGCTTTCATTGAGTTCTACGGCTGTAGCAAATTAGTGATGAAAAGAGACATCATCATATTTTTTCAAAGAATAAAAAAAAATGTTATTTGTTAAAGGAGGCATGCTCACGTACACACACGCACACGCAGACCCACGCACACACACCCGAATTGATAAGCTTGTGTATTTTCATTAATACCAGTAACATTTGTGACAACATGAGTGGGGAGAGGTGCTTAAAGGCCAGAAAAGTAGATTAGGTTAACATAACATGTCTCCTTTAGATTCTCTTCGGACATAACATGGCACAAAATATATGTAATTAGCACACTTTTATGTTTTTGAGGAAAGAGTCGTATCAGTTGTAAATGTCAACATATCCATACATTATATTGGAACAATTACTGCTTTATAACAATATCCCAATATAAACAAACAGGCATGGTAGAAAAATCTAGAGAGTATTTTTTGTTGCCTGTCTTGACCAATCAATTGTTAGTTGGCCTCCCATATTAACCATTGTTTCATTATAAACTTTCATAATTTTTTCTACAAGCGTGTTATTTGTAAAGCAGAGATGACATTTTCAGCCCAATAGTTGACACGACCAATTGGGTGTTCTGAATCATAATCAGAGAAGTCCTTTTAGGATGGGAGCTGTGTTTGGCTAATAGAAGGCACTTTGTCTGTCTGATAATAGTCCAAGTTTGTGGTGATGTCGCACGTGACGAATCCTGTCCTCGAGCCATTCTTCTACAGGCCACAGTGAGACATGCACGAGCACATACATGAGCACATACTGTACATTTGGGATGCAACACATCTATTTTAAAGTAGTCCATCATTTGAGCTGTACTTTATGTACATTACAGATTATTGCTCACATTTCATAGTTTTATGGTTTGTTGATAAATAGAATTTTTACAAATATAGAGTTTAACACTGGAACTCCTAAAGCAGTCAATTTGACGGCATTTTGTTTTGGAAGAGTACATTTTTGGTCTTATTTCTAAGACATTGTTTGGATGATCTAATCTTTTTATTTTTGAAATGTGAGGAATTCTACTAGTTATTTTGACGGCTAAAGTTCAAATGTAGGCCTTTTTGGTCGCTTGGCAACCAACATTCAATGGCAGTTAAACCCATTCTCAAGGTGCGGGTCCTGGTCTGGTTCTGAGCTGAGTTTGATTTTCCGCTAGAGAAGAGCAAGTATTAGTTACCATCGGAACTTAACAACAGTTAGCATTTAGTAGCCCTTAAACAAACTTGTTTTTTTTTGTATTTCAAGTTATACTGTAAGCACCAGTTTGAGCACTTATTAATGGTAAACAACATAAAAGTAGTAAAAAATAATCCCATTAATTTGAATAGGATCCATCAAAATGACTGCTCTGGGAGTTTTAGTGTTTGTTCATAATTCTGAGGTCTTAGTGTTTAAGCAGCAGAGTTGAACTTTAAGAACGAGAAAGCAAACTAGATGTTTGTATGGCACTGATCCAGGTTTGTGGAGAGGCCAGATGTGTGCAATGAAAACATCTACACATATTGGGCAATTTCTTCGAAACACTCATATGTGACTTTTATGTAAAACAAAATAGCCATTACAAAATCACATGTTTTAATTGGACATATTGAATGAGTTAATAAAATAATGTGACACCATGATGTCCTAAATGCGAGCAGGCTTGCTTCTCCATGTTTAAATCAGCCAAACTTGACTCATACTTGCAGATGTTGTACCGTTGCACATAAAATCTATCATGGACAATGTCTTATAGTGCTGATTCTAAATGACTTGGTTGAAAAAGACGACCTTTTTATCGTAGGAAACACATTATTTTCTGCCTCTATGAACCCTACAGCTCTCACATCTGCATAAGTGTAAATAAATGCATATACATACAGCGCCTATTCAGAACCCACTGCATAGGATTTCCACCCACACACCACTTTACCGCAGCTTTTCTCCATCAATCTTCTCAGAAAGAAAGAAAAAAAAATGCTTCTTCGTCAAATCTGCCTCATCAATATTTGAAAACGTGTAGTGCATGTTCCATTTAGCCGTGGGATGTGGTCGATGTATTATGTTAAAACAACTGGATTTTGAGACTTGAGGGAAAAGGAGTAATGCTCTTTGAACGTGTCATGTGACATATATTTTTCAATGTTCCAACGTGGGGTCAAGGCCAACGGCAGGATCACACCTGCTGCTATAGAAATCAAATGAAGGAAGTGGAGCCAGACTATGGTCCAATCCTAGTATTCAGCTTTCAATGCATTTAAAGTAGGGTAGGAAATTCAATACGTGTCTGCATTTATGACCTAATGTGCATAACTGAGATCCCATTTGATCGATTAAACCTTGAAAATAATATACCCGCACACTTTTGTGATAATAAAGAACATCATAATTAAACTGAATATACTGTCATTCTGCAAACACACTGTGAAAAATAGTTAAATAAAAAAAGTTTAGTTTACAATGTTTTGGTGTATGTTTATTTAAGGAATCCCCATTAGCGCAGCAGAGCCGTCACTATTCTGCCTGGGGTAAATAATATAAAGTAAATAAAATAACATACGTTAGAGTATATTCAGATAATGTTTACAACAGAAGCAAAATATAATCCAATATATATTGGATCATCCTCTCCAGTCTTCTCATCTGAACTATCCTTTTTTAAATACAGGACTTGTGATAATGCTGTTTCAACCACAGTTGAACCTGATGAAATCTCACACAACAAAGAGACAAAGTTAATCTTTTACTTGTTACATTGTACAAGGAGAAAGTCTTGACAGAGGCAAGGCACAGTCCCTAGCCTCTCTCAGGACAAGTCTGAAGATTCACAGATGGCAAGCCCCTTTTGGTTGAACAAGACACGCCTTCGTATGCAGATGGGAAAGGAAGAAACCAACACAACAAAAGACACTCCGAATTAGCGTAAACAAAGACTGCTTCCTCTGGTGTTTAACATATGAGCTCCCCAGACCTCCCGGAGTTTTGCTGGAGCTAAAGTGGATTACAATACAGAGCATTCAGCATATAGCCACATATGATTTACCAAAATGATAACTTAAGTTACATTCCAATATCAACTTGGATGGATGATATGTATGACAGCTGCATGTGACTTGAATCAGCATTTTTTTTTACCACTGTAGCAACAACATTTTGCTTGAAATCAGAAACGTCTTGAACAATCTGAGTAACATAATTTAAACTAAACTAAACCATTAACATTAAAGATACAATTATTTTTTATATATATATTTTAATATTTTTTGTTGTATATGTTTATCCAGATATGGAAACACATACATATCATGTTTGAGATTTTCTGAGCCACAGGTTATCCAATCGCAGAGCAGAAAGAGTTGTCTCATTTGGGTCGTCAGTTCGTTAGGGGATATTTAGATGGTTTTGGCTTTTATCTTTTCAAATCTTTTCTCTCTATGTTGCAAAATTCACAACAGAATTTAGACCCACATACTATATATTTAAATGAAACCAATATGAATGCGTTATATTAATTATAATGACGTCATTAGACCACATATAACATACTGTCCCTTTAAAGTAAACATTATGTAAATTTTCATAGATATCAAAGCTGATATCGGATCGTGTTTGAAACGACCTCAAATGAGCAAAAGGATTCCAAATCTGACCACTGTCAAATTGTAAATCAAACATACTTTGAACCCATGACACTGCATTAGGGGAAACTGTACGAATATTGAAGTGCAGATCAATAAGTCCTCTCCAGTCTTCTCATCTGAACATTTTGAGTCCGCTCCGTCCATCCATAAATGCATGTGTGTAAACTGGAGCTTATTTGAGGAGCGCTGGTGGATTAGTATGAAGGTCACTTGTAATGGAGCAAAACCAAAATACTCCACTTGGAAAAAAACAACTCGCCTTGAGCACTGCCTATCGATATCTGAACAGGAACGTTGACATTACATCCTCCACACTTCAGCCAGACACTGCAGGGGAAATTAAAGAATGAATGAATGAATGAGAGACTTTGGACACCAGACACAGGTGTGAAACATGAGAAAGGGTTGTCAATCACATATCTTTGAACATAGTACAGACAATTAGGGTTGGAATACGTTTCTACTTCTTCCCACTCCCTTTCGTACATGAAATGTATTATTATTATTATTTTATTTATGTTTACCTCTTGTCTATTTCAATTGAACATAATAATGTATTTATTTTGTGGCTTTTGTTATGTACTATTTACATATGCAATTGTCTTTGAGTGTCTTGTTGCGGTCGTTTTGTAACTTGCCATGTACAAAATGAAAAGA